GGGGGGGTAGGGGGGTAGGGAGGGCTGTGCACCAGCATGCCGAGCTCAGCAGTGCTCTCAAGGTCCTCGTCTGTGGTGGAGGTGAGAGCCGGGGAGCAGGTGCAGCTGGACCTGCGGGTGGCAAGTGCATCCTTCGGACAGAGGGCAGAACGCACGGGGACCTAAACAGACAACTGGAGGGAGGCGAACCCAGGCCCACATAAGGTAAGCACCTCTTGCCAAAACAGAGTTCCGAGAGCTCGGGAGCACAAAACCAGAAGCTGCGGTCTGTTTAGAGTTCTTAAAATGCTGCTGACGAAGTTTAGTTTTGGAAACCTAAACACAAGGGGCCTGGGAAGAACAACACAGAGAACAGCCCTGGGAAAGCGGAGTGGGCAAGGCCGATGAGGACAGCGTCGGGGGTGGAGGGGAGCTAACGGATCGCTCTCTGGAACCCATACGGCTGGCACTGAGGGTTGGCACTATGTAACTCAGCAACGACAGGGATGACCCGGGAGCTGTGCTCCTTCAAAGTGAGTGCTCAGGGAGGACTGCCTCATCCTGGCCCTGGGTGTCGCTCTAAGGAATGCACTTCTCCCACCCGCGGCTCTGGCCAGCAGAACGCCGCCGTACCAGGGACAACAGGTGGATGTGTCTGCGGCCCTTAGTAGAGCTTTGGGCATCTGTTCCCAGGACTAGCTGTGGGCAGCTAGGAGGCCATGATGGAGCTGGACAAGTGTGGAGAGTTGCTGGGAGGAAGGACCGCTGTGGTAGGACAGTCAGAACAGGTGGAAACATGGCGGTAAAAGGAACTCATGCAGGGGTGTTTACCACTTATGAACGCTGTAAGTGGGGGGCGTGGTCATTCATGTCATGCCTCACACAGGAGGACTGGAGGCATATGGAAGCCATGCCAGCATGCACTCGAACAAGAGGGTCAGCAGATGCTCGAACTAGTTCAGTGATGACATTTCACATGGGGTTCAAGTCTATCCATGGTCCATGACGATCTGGTAGACACTAATCACCCGCCCCGGCCTTACAGTCAATGAAACAGCATTTCTTACTGGGAAGTCCATTGTCCTGACCTGCGTTGTCTGGTCTGAAGGAGTGGTTCTAA